AATGAAGTTATGCAAAGCACTCTGTTTCAAAGTATTGGAGTCATACCTGCAGCAATCCCTCCGGCAATGGATCCGCAAGCGGCGCTTTGCCAAATGGAAGTTGGACGATCCTGATAACAAGTCCACCATCGTTTTAGCTGCTCCCACAACGGAAACTGAATAGCCGAAAAAGGGATTTCGCGACAAAGGGTGATTCCAAAGCCGCGGTAGAGTCCACTGGCGCCGTCGACCTGCAGCAAGGTGCGCAACGCGTTTCGAACGTTACGACTGTGCCTGGCCTGCGTGCGCTGCTTCAGCACCTCTGTTGGTACTCGAACAAAACATGCGATCGTTTCGCCAATCGACGAGGCGATCATTTCAGCGACCATCGGGTTAGAGATCTTCGTAGACAACAGTTCTTTACTAGCGTTGTATGCAATAAAGAAAAGCGCAGCGCTGGGGGCAGAGCCAATTGCCACCGACGGGATACCTGAATACAGTCGAGTTATGCCGCCGGACTTCCGAAAGCCTGATGCCGACTGAAGCCGAGTCTTGACTGTATCCAACGGAAACAAAGTTATATCGACAAGGAGACCAGCGCAAGCTCCGGAAAAAAGCGAGGCAAAGTATGGCGTATGATGGTGTGCCCCTTCAGCCATTGGAGGTAAACCCTATAATAAATGCAAAATATAAATTTGCCTACATATACTATACCTTTCTTTAAAGAACAGATATTAACTAGCACCGTTGCATATTCATAACTTGCAGAAAAACTCAGGTACCTTGGAACTCTGTAACTTTGCATTTCGTACATTGCAAGCAAACTTTTTTCTTAGTCAAGTTCTCAGTTGATAAGCCAATGCAAACTAAGAAAATTTTGGAAAAATTCGAAGAAACCTGATCAGACAATAATCTATAGTCAATTAGAAGACGTTTATCAGCAGGTCGATTCCGGGGCATATAAAAACTGATCATTTCGACCTCTGAATTCCATACTACAAACTCGGTTATGATCATTAAAACAAAATTTACGCAGTATCTGTTGCGGTATCTTTCTGTTGCGGGAAGATAACGACAAACTTCTTACTGTACCTTCCATTACCTGTGAACGATAATTACTGGGTTCCGCCTAACGCAATCCGTAAAAAACAACATTCTATGTTGTTCTATACAAAACCGAGCTTTGTTAGCCATTATGACTACCATAACACAATCAATATCCTCAATACGTTGAGATTACAACATGAAGCAAAACTGTTTGATCGTTTGCCTTCTATGGCAAAAGTTCGAGATTCTATAATCAATTAGGCTATCATGTTCAGCTTGTTTGAAGAACAGGCCCTTAGATTTGGAGTACATGTTCGCAAACAATTTAAAAGCATGCCTGAATTTCAACTGGATGGGGTCTGACAATAGTACAATTTAATAAACTGGAACTTCAAAGGTTCTAGGCATGACGAAACAGATGGTTGGCAACCTTTACTAGAACTGCCAAAAGCCTACCGTTTCGTTGTCGCCTAAAACCACGAAATTGTGAATATACAGAAGACATGAGTTTCAGAAAACATTAGCGCAGTTTGTTCAAGAACCAAAAACTGAGTACTTCATTCGCGCCTTGCTGGTCATAATCAAAAGCCCCCGTAGTGTTCTGGCAACAAAAACAAAACGGGCTTCCGAAGCCAACGGATGCAACTGACACCACTGACACAGGTCTATTATTCGACTGACAAAACTGTTTGCGATGTGTATAAATAAACCGTTTCACGCTGTTTCCAATACTGAAACACAACATAAACACAGTTCAACGACTCTGTGTACATTAGATGAAGGCAACTGTGTCTGTCGTTAACAAACTATTCTGCGCTATGACGAGAGTGCGGGCCGAAAGCTCGCCTTACGATAGGCCGGTGCAGACAACCAAAAACCGCCTTAACCTACACCTGGTGGTAGTCTAAAAGAGAAACTTAGCGTATTTTTGTCTAATTAATTGATGTCTTAGAGGCAATAATACCCAACTAAGAACTGAGGGAGAAAACAGTTCATCGCTTGCTTGAATAATGATTATTTCTCTTCCTTCCCTGACAAACTCATAACTCCTCCAAGACCAGATTTCAGGCGCTATAACCCACCAAGTTGCTCCTGGTTTCCTACATACAATTTAAACAGGATATGACTCCATGGTATTTGAGGATCTGACGCGCCAATCGCATCTCGCATCACTGTTAGAACCAACGCGCTAATTACAAACAAATATGATCACTACTACTCATACTGATTCAATTCAAAACTTGTTTTCGATCCAGGGCTGGCAGGAACAAGCTATAAAGAAAACGCAAAATTATTAATACATAAAATTATAACAATTAATAATTAATTACGATCGCAGTGACGTCGTCGTCAGGGTAAAATGATGTAACAGTGTAGACGCATCTGTTCACTGACAGTGCTAGCAATTCCATTCCGATCACGAGGTAGCTGGGAAATTAACTCGCCAAATGAAGTGCTAATCGCGCCGTTGACCTGTGAAACAGTTCTGGTTTATGCAGCGAACATTCAGTAGCCTGCAACTCAAGACAACAATGAAGATGTTTGTTAGAAGATATGATGGCAACCTTCTTGCCTAGCAGTCTTCCCGTCAAGTAGTCACAACTAATGACGGTGGTCGTGTCATACAGAAGATAATAGAGTCAGAGCAAGATCTCGAGCTATTATATCAGGAGGACAAAAAGCGTGGCAAATGATATGGCCAGTCACAGAATAGTCGAGTAAATGTGCTGTTCTTGCTCAATGATGTGCAAAGAAACAGATGGCTTTTTAATACATCATACTTGAGTTACTTCCTATTGGCAAGACATGGCACGAAGGTTAAATCGCAAACCTTAACATGAACATGATAAATATGAACCGACATAATTTAATACAGTATTTACTAACTCAGGCCACTATCAGCCGTGTCGGCGATTGGAAAAACTTCATACGCTATAACACAGGATGCAGCCGGTTCAAGTGATACTAACTTTCTTGAAAAATAATACACCTTAGTAGGCGTCAAGACCTTCACCGAAAAAGCTCGCACTGGCGAGATACTGGTGTGATAAAATGAGGCAAAACTCACGCTACTCATTGCCATACGTTCAGTAAAAGGTAACTTTTACGCTTTTCAGCCATGTATTTCTATGACTATGAAAGCTCACATTCATGAACAGCAAGTTTCTATTCCAAAATACAACTCATGAAAATTCTTGTTTGTTACTTTCAAAAGTCAATTGATGAGCTCTAATTGACCTACTGATCAATTCAGCAGACGACAGGACGAAACTAGTTCAATTCAAACAGATATAACCTTCACTTTAAATTTTATACAACTTTTTAAGTGCGAAATAAGTATCACACTCTCCAGAGAACACGCCTACCACTTTGGGCTAATCTCAATGACAGGAACTTGCAATCAGCTTTCTCTTATGAGGCAAACAGGCATTGCAAACAAATGCATAACAATTCTTCGACCACTACCAGTGAATCATTACAAACCACATCTTATCATTAATGGAATTTTTGACTCCTTCGTCAAAATATAAAAGCGAAGCGATCACGACCTTGCATGGATCGTATCCAAACACAAAAGAAAAGCCGAATCACATCTGGAACTTAAATTTTAATTTTATTAGGCATCACTGAAATGAAGAGATCAAGCTGCTGTCTTGCTGTCTAACTGGCTGTGTTCTACGGCCACTTTTCGGCGCTTTGACTGCGGTTCAGATTCGAGGGTGACAATCGCTGAGTGATTCTTTCGCGCCAACTTGTACAATTTCTGACAGTACTTCGACGCGTTCGTCCGGCAGGTAATCTGCAACAGTGACCTCAACTTCCGGGCGCGCTTCTGTGCCCAAATCATTCTGCTTCGAAGCGGTTTCAAGAGACGCATCAAACACTGTGCCGAAACGGCATCCAACGGTAGGTGGTCGTCTCTTGTCGAAGTCAAACAGCCCATAACGAGCATTAACTGAAGCAGGTATTTTGGCTGAAGGTCGATGGACGTCTCCTCTCTGTCATCGGCTTGTGTGTCTTGCGTAGAAGAGGAGAGAAATCGTTTTAAGCAAGCATCTGCGCCTTCGAGGAAAATATTCAAAAACTTTTTCCATGCAACTTTCTGTCTTGCGGATGATTTGAGCGATGACTAAAGACAAAAACTTGAAAAGCATTTAATAGGTAACAAAAATAAACAAAATAAATTGCTTAGATTTTAAAATCCCCCCTCCCCAAGGAAAACAAAAGCATGCATAACCGAAAATGACTTAAAAGTAATGCACATCAGACAGATATTTAGCAAAAACCAATCATATCTAAGGATACAAACTACCTTAAAGCAATTCCCTTAAACATAGCGTTTTTACCCTACCAGAGTTCGTAAACCATGCAAATATGGGCACATTGCCGCCTTTCATTTAAAGCTGGTCCGGTTCAATATCAGTCATAAGCTGTCCTCCCAAAACTGAGGACCTCCAAACGCTTCCCATGAGAACTGACGAATAGTCTAACTGTTCTCAAACATAAAGGAAGCAGGCTTCTGAGTCCTACAATTACAATGGCATCACACTACTGTCAAGTGCCAGGAAACTTTTCTCCTCAATTATCCTAGAAAGGTTCAGGTAGGCAGTTATAGAAGACTCCACAGAAATCAAGCATGCTTCCGCATGTGGTATTTACGCCCAGATCAAATTTTCATTCTGCTTAGAATCACTGGGCAACGCCGCTGACGATTGTTTGGTTGCTTCGGTTTGCCAGTTTCCCGCCGTTCGAAGCTGCAACTGATTCATAACATCTTCCAACGACGAGCAAAATCTTGAAATACTACGGGATGCTTCAACACAGCGCTTCCATTTTAGAAGAAACGCAGGCAGGAACCATGTCTGCTATCATCAAAGTAAGAGAGCTACCTGACTGGTTTCAATTAACTGTGAAGCTGACCAGGGAGATGCGTTTTCACACTTGCAACAGAACGCAGTTCTCGACTTTCTTCTCTGAAAGAGTTCCTCACAAAAAAGGCTCTCATTCTACAGAGAACGTGCTGCTCAAAACATCCGGCCAGTAATCTTGCTGAATTGGAGTATGCAAAAGATATTGTCTTGGAGCTCCTTATTACTGGAAGAGGGTTCTTTCATCTCACGGATTCCGTATGCAACACAACCGCGAAAGCCGGCTTCTTCTCTAACGCCCTGAAGTCAGAAGTTATGAGGAACCCATCAGGCACAGTTGATCTACAAGTGGAACAGATATGTAAAGCCCTTCAAGAGGTTGTCAGTTTCACTATCTCGGTTCCAACATCTTCAGCTATGGCACTATCCAACCAGGGTTAAAAAGAAGAATCGCCCTAACCACAAGTTCCTTTGGAAACATGTCCAATACTGTGCTGAGAAATGAGTCACTCTTCCAGAGTTAGTCAGGTCAGTGCTGTTGTTCGTTATGAAGAAAGTTGTTCTAATCAAGAAGCACGAACTACGGTTAAACTGTGTACAGCAGCGTTGGCTTCGATGTATAAGTAGGGTAAATGGTAGGACTATGTAAGAAATGATTCTGTTCTCTTCCAGGTATAAGTGACCTCGGTAGAAAGGGAGATTAAGAAAAGGAGCATACAAAATTTACTATAGCCCATGGCTTC